ACCTACGATACGTAAGAAGCAGGATCAAGGATCGTGCAAGGATGTGCAGAGCACCGGCGAGCAGTAGCGGTAATGAATAATTTTCTGATCAAAATGCAAATAGCATGTCCATCTCCATTGCATTTATATGCGTCTGCCACACGCTCACACGCTTGTGGTCGGCGATCATTTATTCATCCTTTCCTTCTTTCCTTTCTTTCTTCCTTCTCTCGTTCACTAATTTAAAAATTTTATATTTATATATCTAATAGTTAATATTATTATTTTTATATCTATTATATGTCAATTAGTCTATTTATCTATTTGTTGATATATTTATTAGTTTATATACCTATCTGATTATATGTATGTATTTGTTTATACATCCATTCGTTTAATATTTTTGTTTATAAATCTATTTTATTAAATATCTATTTGCTTGTATATATTTTTGTTTATAAATCTATTTTATTAAATATCTATTTGTTTGTATATATTTTTGTTTATAAATCTATTTTATTAAATATCTATTTGTTTGTATATATTTTTGTTTATAAATCTATTTTATTAAATATCTATCTGTTTGTATATATTTTTGTTTATAAATCTATTTGTTTACATATCAGGTGTAATTGAAGTTTATTTATTTATCTGGCCAGTGGTTTATTTATTAAACTTTTTTGTCAATTTTATTTTTTTCAAAATATTTTTTCCATTTTTTTCAAAGTTTTCATTCTGTCTGATCATTCATTACAACAATGCATTAGGTTGCTGCTTGAAAGTTGTGGATCAAGAACTAAAATTAAAAACAAATAAATTAATTACATCATTCAAATCTGCTGCTAAACATTTTGTTCAGTCATATTAAACTTTTTGTTAATGGAAAGTAACTTTTTATAAGTCTTTATTCTCATTCACTCGGTTGATTATCTCATTATTCCATCAAACATTTGTTGACTTTCTTAATTTTTTTCTGTATTTTTTCATTAAATTCTTTGCAACTTCATTCATTTACTCTCTGTCGTTCATTCATTCATTCAGTTGTTTATTGGTTCACCTACTTTGAACCAAGTTGAGACCGATTGTAATGAAAGTTTATTGGCCCATTTTGGATGGGTTGCTGCTAATGCGGGCTCCTTCCATTGTGTTCCGTGCTGTCTAGTACTCCTCAATCATGTTATAAACATCTTCCTACCGCTTTGTCTTGCTAGGGGAATCTTTGTGTTACTATTATTTTGTGTTCAGTAGTCTTGTTGTTGTTCTTATTATTAATGTTGCTATTAATTATTATTATTATTTTGTGGTGGTCGTTTTTTATCGAACAATGTTCAAATGCGTGCAGGTCTACAGAAATCCATGCATTACACACATTGCGTCAAATAGTCGGATGTTGTTTGCATTCGAACACAGTCACTGCAAGAGCAGGACCTTGCCTCTTACCTATTAAACCATCACACCATTCTCTCTGAAGCTTGTGATGCAGTGCAATTGATCAAGTCACATCTCTATTTTGAAGTTTGAAGTAAAAAACTTGAAATAAAGATTTCTTGGTTAGAGTGTTCGCTCAGATGATAGTTGCGTCATGTTTTCTGTCGTTATTCTGTCGGTCATCTGTGTCTTCAATGTCACTTTGAAAATTATTTAAAAATTGGAAAATTAAAAAAGCTAAACAAAACGCTCATTTTTGTTCAAATATTTTGGTGGCGTGATGGTGTAAAGGTTAAAAGCGCCTGATCTTGCTTGCTTGATCTTGATGGTGTAAAGGTTAAAAGCGCCTGATCTTGCTTGCCAAAGCAGCACCAGGTTCAAACGCAAGTAGGCCAACGGTAGCATTGTGTGTAGTGCGTGTATACTCATTGTATATCGTTGCAAAGTACCATACTATTGCAGGTGAGAGTATGACTTTGTTAGTTATCATTTTTCTACTTATTTCTAATATCATGGTCAGTCTCTTACCATAAATTTTTAAATTATAATCTATATAATTATTTAATAAAAGTTATTAAAATAACAACAAAATTATTTTTGACCAAAAAATCTCCGTCAAAATATGTAAATAAACAGCCATATAAAAACAAATTTAAACAGTTGAGCAAGAAATTATAAATTTTTATAAAAAAGACACAACCATGAAGAGAGTTTTTGATAATGAAGATTGATATGAACACCAAGACTTCATGTTTAATTGAAAATTCAAGTCAAATATCAGAAGGAATAAAATGAATATAACCCCATCGACTCTCCGTGCCTTATGAGATAGTAAAGAAAATGAAAAAACATTAAACAGAGTATTAGGCAAACCTCAAAACAATAAAATCTTCCAATTGGAATTTATTTTGAAAACTGAAAATGCGGCGACAACAAATTTTTTCAAAATATTTTTAATGGATAACAACTTAATTTTTTAAAACGAATCCATTTGATAAATTTTTTCCACGTTTAAATTTTTTAACTTAAATAAAAACCAACTCAATTAAGACGTTCCATTAAAATAAGAAATACTATTCAATTGAAAAAAAAATCACACAACAAAAAGCACTCTTCCTAAAAAAATGTGATAGGAATGATGAATGACTCGGTTCTTTTTTTCAATGAATGATCTCAAAATGTGTGAGAACAGTGCATACATCGCACTTTTTCATTTCAACGAGTCTCAAATAATTATCACCTCGTTTCGTTAAACTTCCATTTTGGTTCAATAGACCTCGTCTTATGTTTGTTGGAATTTTCAGTCTCCAAATGTTGCCCACTGCAACGTATTAAATGTTAACGACTGCTTGTAAACACACTTGCATGTATTATTAATTATTAATTAATATAATTAATTATTAATTAATTATATAATTAATTATTATTACTAATTTATTTTAGACTATTTTAATTACTTCTACGCGTGGTGTCCCACGCTATTTATAATATTAATTTATTGTTTATTATTCATTTATTAATTTACATTTCTTTATATATATATATATATATATATATATATATATATATATATATATATATATATATATATATTATTAAAAAAACTTAATATAGCGTCCGTAATAGCAATTTTCACAAACGCTATCAAATTATAACCAATATTCATATCAAAATGGCAAGAATGAAAAGAATTAAACTATAATAAAAAAAAAGGTATGTCTTTAATTGTCTTTTAAACTCATGCATATCCATGATTTACACTTAATAAGTTCAGTTTATTTTTTTACCCAATCTGCTGAGCCAACTTCCAGCACTTAACTTTTAACCTTTTTGAACATTGGGTATATATCTTTTTGAGTGAATTTCTAAACATTTTCATCCATTGTTTACTTTCATGCTGTAAAGATTTTTTTCATCTGAGTTATCAAACTGGTATAAAATATACACGCATTGGCAACTATTTCAATATAAGAGAACATGCAAGGAAATTTTTTCAAAGTCTTTCAAAAAACAAACTGGGGAGAAAACGATTTCTAATAACCACCTTTAGATATAGCCATTACTTTTTTTACTCGCTAGTTGTTAATAATTTGAAAAACACCTCAAACTGTCAGATGTCGACTCTACACAAAAAAAGACACTTCAAGTCATGACGTCGAAATAGGTTAAGTTTGCGAAGTTTGTGGACAATTTTTTCAAACTGGTCGAAGTACCTAATAAAAATTTCATCTCGTTTCCATGTACGTACGTGCGTGCCTAGGAGTGTGCGCGCGTGTGTTTGTAGTGAAGCTGGCAGCGACATACATGTTGTAAATCAGGGTGGTGTCATGACAAACGACTTGATTTAGACCTTCCTAATTGACGTACCTTTGTGAATAATTTAACTAACGTCCCCCTCTGCTCTCTCTTAAAAGTTAATTCTTCATACGATGATGTAAGCGTGCCTGTGATGATGATGATGGTGAGGATGATGATGATGATGATGGTGAGGATGATGATGATGACGATGATGATGATGATGATGATGACGATGATGATGATGATGATGATGATGATGACGGTGATGATGATGGTGGTGGTGAGAATGATGTTTTTATTGCAATGATGTTAGTTATGATAACGATGATGATAAGGATGGGTTAGGGATAGGATGATGATGGGAAAAATAGTGTGGGCTCATAATATAAAATCGTTACGGTTGTAATGGTGATGATGAATACGATAATGTTGAATAAGACAAGGATGATAGGACTGCACTGTTGACACTTGTTACTAGGTTATACTTCTGACTTTGTTTAATTAATGTCAGTAATTCAGTAATGGTATTGAAGTCTAAGATGATATTAATAATATTATGAATGTCATTTTATATAGCGTCATAGGTACATTATTATTTTTACAACAAACACCCAGCGCATTTAAACACACTTGGTTCAACGCGTGATACACACTTCTCATGTGATAAACTGGGATCTCTTTGCAATCAAACCCAGGCAATGCTAGTTACTTTAACCTGATGATATAAATGGTGGACATCTAGAACATTGGCAACTCGAATAGAGTTGCTGTAATGAAAATTAGTCGCTTGCCATGGCGCTGTAAAAATGATAATAATCATAATATTATTATTATTTGTCCTAGACTTCAATAATGGTACAATTGTTTAGCATGATGTTTAAAATTTGAAAATGTTTTTTTGAATCACTATTCCCTGTTATACCGTACTAGCGTGCTTAGTCTAGCTTGAGTTAATTGAATACATATTTTACATTTATCCAAATGAACAAATATTAAATGGAAAAAATCAAATGAACAAATGGTTAACTCTAACGGCAGACATGAAAATCTGTGATACTTTTAACAGTCATCAGTTTTAGAATGAACATTTCAGTTGAAAATGGAAAATAAATTATTCTTTTATAATATAAATTATTCTTTATTCTATTATCATTCGTTTATTAATTTTTCTATTAATTTACTAATTAATTTATTTAATTGCTAATTCAATAACTAATGCATTAATCAATTAATTCATTAATTCACCATAGTTGCAGGCTATTTGTCAGTACGGAGATATGAAGCTGAAGAGCGATAGAGTTGGCATACCTGTTATAGCGTACCCCCTCAACAACATACTCGGTTAGATTTTTGATCGATTGACTGAGTTGTTGACTGAAAGCCTGGCTGGCTTGTCGGTTGACTGTTAACTCGCTGAGCAATTTATTAATGATAATTGTTTGCAAACTTTTTTGAAATTGAAGAATGCAATTAAATTAGTGAAATCTTTAAAAATTTATTTTATTTCCATTCTTTCTTTTAAAAATAATTTTTAAATCAATTGCAAATTTAAATTTTTAATCAAACGGACAAAAAAAACAAAAATAACAAAAAATAACATTGATTATGCAAAGAACAAAAAACCAACATCAAAATAACAAAGATCAAACAAACAATGGACAAACAAAGAACAAACAAACAAACATTCAACCAACAAACAAAAAACAATCAAACAAAGAGCAAACAAACATTGAACTAACAATCAAACAAAGAACAAACAAACATTCAACTAACAATCAAACAAAGAACAAACAAACATTGAACTATCAAACATTGAACTATCAAACAAAGAACAAAATAACATTGCTCCAATCGACAGATCCGTCTACGAACCCGCCAACAAACAGCATCAGGTCCCTACCCACACCAGCCTCGCCGGCTGACCTTCACGTCAGCAGGCCGTATTTCCATCATGACAGCCTCAAAGCTAACGTCTCGTGGAAATACGTCTACGGTAGTTCATTTTTATATGAAAGATAAAACTGTGTGAAATTATAATTTCATGGAATTAAATTTCTATAAAAATATGATTTCGCAAAATTGTGTATTCATGAAACTCCTTCTTGAAAGTTTAATTATCGCATTTAATCAAAGTTGAAGCTTGAAAAGTTATATTGGAATTATCAACATTCAAAATTGTAATGTCTTAATTTTGATTTAGTCAAAGTCTTATTGGATGGAGACGGAATTGAAATTAATCTTATAATCATTTTTCAAAAGTCTCATTATATTATGTATATATATATATATATATATATATATAGATATATATATATATATATACATCTATATATATATTCATATATATATATATATATTTCAAAAATTCAAAACTACTTTCAACATTGTTCAACTTTTTTATATTAATATAAAAGAGTTGAACTATGTTGAAAGTAGTGTTGAATTTTTGAAATGTTGCGTTAACAACAGTCTGTTACCAAATATATATATATATATATATATATATATATATATATATATATATATAGCTACATATCAGTGCTTAAATAATATACATACTCTGTCACATGAGCTCACGCATTCACACACACACAGACAATGACATGTACACACACACACTCGCATACACAATCATGCTCTCACATACACACACACACTCCCTCACAAACACAGAAGGGAACATGCACGCACACATGCACATACGCACAGCATCCATTTTTTAATAATTAATTATTCAACTTCGACGATGAAATTGAACATGCTCCTCGGGGAGTTGATGAAATTTTTGGTTCATTTCGGATGAATGGCAACAAATTTTGTTAAATAAGATGAAAATTTGATGAAACTCGCAGACGTTTTCAAATGAAATATAAATTGCTGAATCTTAATGACATGGAAAGGAAGTAAGCTGGAGCAAAATGAGTTGATGTAATTGCGTTAAAAATTAAACGAGCGAGTCTCCGAATGGAAATGGAAAATTTATTTACATGATGCATTATATTTAGTGCTTAATTGATCTGTTAAATGGAATGCGGGCAAAATTTTAAATTACTTTCATTTAATGTTAAAATTTTTTTTATTTAAAAATAATGCATAAAACTGAACTGATTGAAAAATTAAGCCCTATAAAAATTTTAATTTTATTTACTCAAATATTATTTATTACGTTTACAAATGAAAAAATATTCAAAAATTTGTAGCGATTGAACGTATTTCCCGTAACCTCAATTTGTAAATGTTATTTTGGACACAAAAACTGTATCCAAATAAGTTTTGAACATAAATATAAAAATTTATGAAATTACAGTTGAAGGTTGAATGTTAGAAACATTCTTTCAGGTTTGAATGGCACAAAGTTCGAGCAAGTTTAAGCCAATTATAGACTACAACTTATTAAAATTCATTTTCAATATGATTTTTTTTTAAATACTTTTTCATCTAAGCTGCAAAATGGCGAAATTTGTTCCAGTAAATTTGATTGGTTTCAAAAATGAAGTTGGTTTAAAATAAAGTTAATTTTGATTTATGTGCGTAAAGCATGTAGGCTGAATAACATCGTACAATTAGGGGATATTTGAGTGTGGTCAGTAATTCAGCAATGGATATTCAGTGGCTACACACACACACACACACACACACACACACACACACACACACACACACACACACATACACACCTGTAATATAAATAATATTGTTACATAATAATAATACCAAAAATATAAAAAAACAACCATGTTTATGTTTTCGTTTCGGATTGTTCAATTGTTTTGAAAAAAAGTGCATTTATGGGTTGCAATATGAGTTGATGAAAATGCCTTCACCAGCAACAGATTCGCCACCGGTGGCCAGCGTTTTTGTGGACTGGATGCCTGAGGCTTGCATAGCTGACCAGTCATCTGATGATGAACTTTCAAAGAGGATGTCCATCAATGTCAAGGTCGTTTTTTTGTGTATGGGTTTTTGAGTTTATCTGTTCATCTGTTTGTGTTCATGTTTGTGTTCATGTTTGTGTTATGTTCATGTTCATGTTTGTGTTCATGTTCATGATTGAATACACTTTTAAAATTTCGTAAACTGAAAATCTTAGACTTCAAAATGTTTACCTCTTTTGAAATTTGACCTGGATAGTTTTTGATGTTAGGCCGCTCTGTTTTTGTGGCACCAATTTAAATCGTTCATTTATTTCCATTTCACAGAAAGACCTCTATAATATTTTTTTTCGATAGCACTACACTTAGAAATGTTTTCCAATTAAACGCATGTGTAGATGCTAATTTGATGCGAAGTTGTTAACAGTTGCTCCTGAATTTGTTGGTGAGAGAGTTGTATTTGTTTGGAAATGAACTGTCGGTAGGAATTGGTTTGCATTTTCACCCTAATTGAAATTTGCATACAGACCTCGGCCATAAATTCATTAAATTTCTTTCATGCTTGCCAGCACAACTTGTTTAAACATTTGTATTCTTCTGAAAAAGTGTTTTAGTGTTGAGTCTGCAAATTGGATGCTCTCGTGAGATTTTACGTTTCAATAAAATAAATTGTCATAAGTGATTGCGGATTGTTTTTAATGTTCAAATGTTCAGCGTGTAATTACTGTCACAACGACTTCGCAACAGAATTACACAAACAATTTAACGTCTTCGAACTTACCAATAACTGAAGAAATTGCGAGACCACAGACGTCACAATGAACAATGTAGTCGAGTTATTAACATCATCATCATCGTTGCCTTTCTGCAACTATCCTAATTTCATCGTCATCAACGCCACCATTAGAGACACCATCATCACCACCACCACAGACCACCAGCTTCGTCATCTACGACCTCCGATACGACTGTCGCTACCTGGTGGAGCTGCACCCCATGTCGACCCATGGCATACAGGGCAGCATCACCCGCCGGACCTTCAACACGCCTTCGTGCAGTGAGGCTATCATTGTTGGGAAGCATCGACCGGAGTGCTCCAATAACGGTGAGGGAATGAATGAAAGAATGAATGAATGATTGAATGAATGAATGAATGAATGAATGAATGAATGAATGAATGAATGAATAAATGAATGAACGAATGAACGAATGAACGAATGAACGAATGAACGAATGAACGAATGAACGAATGAACGAATGAACGAATGAACGAATGAACGAACGAACGAACGAACGAACGAACGAATGAATGAATGAGTGAATGAGGTGTAGAGAGTTTGAAAGATTAAAATTAATGAAGTAAATGAATAAATAAATGGATGAGTGTGCTAGTGAATGAACGAGTTTGTTACATTAAGTTAATTAGCAGATAAAGGAATGTATTTAGTTGTAACAATGATAAAAAATATTATCATTAACACAACTGATCATCGTGACATCTGCAGAGGATCGCTGGTCAACAACTCCACTGAACTTGCAGCACAGCTTCTTCATATCCAGCTCCAATATCACCGCGAAGATTTTCTGGGAAAATAACCAAAGCAAGCAACACACGTCATCATCATCATCATCGACGTCATCTTCATCATCATCGTCTTCATTAGACAATTTGGCGTCGTCATCATCATCATCATCTTTAAATTATCGAATTACATGGAACCCTAGCGGAGAGCCATCTTCATCAATTACTAGGATCCTCCCTGGAGTAAGGGCGATGATGATGACGATGATGATGTGATGATGGTGATGAGGATGATGAAGATGATGATGATGGTGATGACGACGATTATGATAATTTTATTTTCTTCCTTTTATTTGCAATGGTAGTGAACATGAAAATGATTTGGACGATATTGTACCAATGTTAATGGTTGTTATAATGATCAAAACAACAACAACCAAAACAACAACAAGAACAGCAGCAGCAACAACAATAATAATTACAGTAATAGTAATAAAAATACTATTAAACATGATGATTTATCAGGCCCTAAACTAATCCAAACCCAAACCCGACAGGGCACCACCTCCCACGTCATAACTGACCTCCGTGAGGGGACCAAGTACACCGTGAAACTGCAGAGGCTTGGCAGACATTCATCCAACCATCCGTCCACCATTCACATTAACACGCCACTCTTGCAGCATAAACATCATCAACAACTTTTCGGTTTGTATAGGTTCAGGCAGTCAGGTGGGTGACAGAGAATGAGTCCTGGGCAAATCCCCCTTAACAGCCCCTTAACTAAAATTAATGCGCAAATTTTTACATTGATTCCTCGAGGACTGTTATTTTTTTTAAATTAATTTTAATTAAGTATTTTAGTATGAGTATGTAAGTAGTTTAGTATGAGTGCCTTATAAATAAACTCTAAGAAGAAAACTAATTTGATCCTGATCATATTTGGTCTGAGTTTTTAATTCTTTTTGTTACACACAAGTTTTAGATATTTTTAATATGGTAGTTTTCTAAAATTGAAAATACTTAAAAATGCCCCTTCTATAATGGCACCTAAAAATGGCCCTTGCCCTTTCTCTGCTACACCACTGTTTGCCGCAGTTAACTTCAAATTGATAGGGTGGTGTCTAATAATAATAATAATAATAATATTTATAATAATAATATTTATAATAATAATATTTATAATAATAATATTCATATATATAATAATATTTAAATACAATTATATTTATAAATTGTAATAATAATATTTATAATAATATAATATTTAAAATAATAATAATAATTAGGCTTATGTAGCGTTGCTTCATTTCAGAATCAGACTCATCAAACGAGCTCTACCATTACGAGGATGACGGCTACGCTCTGATCAACCAACAGCAGCGCCAGGACCAGCAACATCAACAGGCATTTCATCTCTATTGTTTTACATGTTTCATCTATTTAATTTATTAAATTCATATAATTTATTGAAGTTATTTGATTAATTTATTTATTATATTACCCCAATTGCTGTTAATTACTTGCTAATTGATGGATTGTGGACTATTGAAGGAGTAATTAAACGGCATGGTACATTTGAGAATGAAGTTACAATGTTTTTTATTTTAATGATTCTCAGGATAAAATAACAATGTATGAACATCATTGAATAGTTGTCACATGCCTTTGTACAATGGGTCGTTAGCAAAAAAATTGATTTCTTTGATGTTTCTCGCTCTTGGTAGAGCAGAATTAAAATATCCAAATTTTTGCTTGATTTTGTTGAGTTAATTTAACAGTAAACTAATCAAAAGATTTATCAAAATGCAATTTTTTATTACTTAAAACAAGTTTGAAACCATTTTCAATACGTTGATGTGATGTAGAAAAGGTTAAAGGTCAAACTCATTTTGCACCTGCTTCAAACTTCTTAACACACACAGAGTATATGATAGGTGAGGATCTTTTTGTGTTTGAACCCAACCACTGTAACAGCAGAACCAGGCGCCTTTAACCATTACACTATCACGTATTATAAAATCAATGAAGATCTAAAAACATTTGTAACTACTATGTAACAATGTTGCAACAGGCGAGAGTTGACTGGCGAGAACCTTCCATGTGGAACCACCGAAACGACGACGCGGTGGTCGGCACTTCAGCGGCCACATCAGCAATAACAAGAACAGCGACGACATCAGCCATAAGATATCCCTTCACATTCATGACAAACTTCTTTCGACATCATCTATATCTTCTTCTCACATTTATCTTATGTTATTTCATTCACCTGACCAAACAATTAACATTTTGATTTAGTTCAAAAACTACCAACTTTAATATTGATCAGGCTTATTTATATTACATTCAGTTGATAAATGAAACAGTTTTTTAAAACCTTGCGGTGAATATCCCAAAATGTGTTTTCTAAAAATTTAATAATGTGATTTTGTATCCTGAGATTAAAGTTTAAAATTCAAAATTGTATTTTTCGAAGCCTCCATAATGTTTCTAAGTTCAATTCATATGTGTTTTGATTGGAAGTTTATTGAAATATTTTTCATCTAAAAACTAGCTTTAAAAAAATCTATTCAAGTTAATAATACATCGAGACAACTTTTAAAAATTAAGTGTATAATTATCAGATTATTAACTCTGTTTTAATTTATATTATCAGAAGAACGTTTTAAATAGTTTTAAAATATTTAAAAAAACATTTCATTGTATGTCACAATTTTTTTAAAGAACCAAGTTTCGAAGCATTTTTCACATTCCCGACATTCCTTAACGTACGGACCTTTCAAAAAAAACATCAAATTTTTCAATAGTTAATAAAGTTTGAATCTGTTTCCAAATCTTTTTACCAATAAACTACATACATCAGCTAATATTTCATATGTCTGTGAGTTGAGGAGTACTTCAAGATCATTTCATTTAACCTTGTTTCGTAAGACAGGTTCATGCACATACAATTATTTGTCAGTATTTGAAAAAAAAACTAACTTCTTTCAATCAGTTAAAATGACAAAAATCTTCAAATTTTTTTTTCAATTTTTTAAGCCAATTATGTTTAAATTATTCATTTTTCAGAAGTAACGTAATTGAGTATCAATTATCAATTCGGTTTGAAGGATAGACCACAGACAAAAATCATATAATTTTTTATCACGTAACGACAATTTCAACACCCACACCACGTTTAACCAAAAAGCTATTTAAAACATCTTCAACTGCAGCTTGTGCTATTGAGAGTGACACGGTATTCATTCAATTTTCAACCTACCAAAAGGTATTTTCATTCAATTTGATGAAGTATTTTCAAGTTTGAGTGTGGCAAAATTTGTGCCCATTTTTTAATCTATGATATTTTATTTATGTTATACTAATCAAAATATGTCATCATGTTGTATTATTTATAATGTTATTTGTGGTATTTCATTTATGATTTTCATCAAATTTGTGTAAGACAAATGAACGTTAAAAACCACTCTTAATTTCATTATTACATTATAATCGTTTAATTTTTTTAATAATTTTTTTTCAACTGTCCAAATTTATTTTAGTTATTGAAAATTTTTTGTTTAAACTTATTATTTTTAATTAATTAATTATTAAAAAATAATAATAAAAGATCTGTTTGAATTAAATTTTAATTCATTTATTATTTAAAATTCTTACACTCTTATAAAATGTGTTATTTTTTCAATTTTCAAACTCAGTTTCTTTTCTTTCAATTTCACAAACTATTAAGATATTGGTGCTTAACAAATAACCTGTAGATAATTCTATTCATGAGATTAACAAAAATTTGTTGCATCGAGTATGTAAAAATGAATGAATAAATAAAGAAATAATATAATTAATTAAATTAATGATTATATAATGAGTTAATTATACAATATGTTAATAATATTTATTTAATTAGTTAATTAACAAATGAAAACTCATCTCTTTTTCACCAAACACCTCACTTCAGAATTTAATTTATTGGTCGTCTCAGGTGGAATAAATTTAATTTATATTGCTTCCACTGTTCCGCTGTATGAGTATGGGAAAGTGGAAGTTATCAAATTTTGTTTTCGCTGTAAAATTTTATTTGAAGTGCATCAGGTGAAAATGTATTTATGTTATAGAATGAGAACAAATTGCATTGATGTTGGTTCAGAAACAGCGGATTTTCGTATGTTACACTCGCATGGCATTTTAAGTAGAGATGACCGTGGTGAGGATGATCGCTTTGTCATTTGTGATTTTTGTGCTTGTGGTTCTATCAGAATTTCACGCTACCTTTGCCTAAATGAAATCACAAAACATTACAACGTATTGCTTTTTTGTGAAGAAAATTTTGTCTTTATGTAAATTTTACTGAGTTAATTGAAGAAATAAAGTTGTTTCACGGGTTTGTGTACAATGAATGAATGTCTGTCTAATCCATCCATCCATCCGAACAATTCTGTAAATAGTTCAATGCTGCGCGTGCGTTAAATGTATTAATTTGCATGTCTTGCTACGATTATGCGATCATTTATTTTTTTATTGCCGAAAGTTTATTCAATTCGTTGTTCATTGCATACCGATATGTCGATCAGTTAACATTGTCAGCTTGATATTAAACATTATTATTGAACTACTGATTTGTTGAAATCACTTCAAAATCATATGGAACGTACGTTTAATGTTTAACGATAATTCGAAGAGTAGATGAAAAATTGAAACATTTTAAACATTCGTCAACAAGTTTCTGGCATAAAAAAATTTCATAAATATCAAAAATAATCTTCTTCTTCTTCTTTCTCGTGCCTTATTCCTTTAGGAAATTGGCGACCATCGACCTCCACAAAACCCGATCTTTAACACTTTGTAATAGTTGAAATGTAGTGATATTCAACAAGTGACACGAGGACTTCACGAATGTTGTTCGTTGTAGACCGCGATCTTTTCTCCTTGCAATATTTCCAGTAGTTGTTAGATTTTCCATTCTTTCATTCCGCATGATGTGACCAAAAAACTTTAACTGCCTCCGTCGGATCAACTTTAGTAATTTTCTCTTTTCATAACCGGACTGTTTTATTACATCCTCATTTGAAGTATGAGAGGTCCAACTAATTTTCATAATTTCTTTCAAAAACCACTAGGGTGGGTCACTTTTTATGTAAAAAACAAGTCGACCAATCATATTCGAATAGCATTTTTGTATTGTAGTGCATCACAAAAAATAGTTTTAGTGAAAAATAAAATAAAAAAACGCACATCTTCAGCCCGCGCATGTGCCGCAAACTTTTTCAAAATAGTCCTATTCGTTATAGTCATAAGCTATTTATTTATTGAAAGCTCGACTAAATGCCATTTTTAAAAGACAAACGATTTTGTAAGGACTCAGTAATATTAAAAGCCAAAATCTTAACTAAATAAACATAAGTTATTAAATAAATTGTTTTTTTTATACAAGAAATCCTGCTTGCTGTCAAATTTTGGCATAATTTTTCTGGGAGATGTTGGCGATTGGAGATTTGTTTGGATAGAATTCATACATCCCATGTTCGTAATTCTGCAATTTAAAGACTATACGATGATTCATTCCACCCCGTATTTAACGCTGCAGCGATAATATTGATTAGCAATAACAACCATGGATATATATCCATGATAACAACTTCAATGAAAAGTTTAAAAGTAACTAAGAGCAACCAAAAGTAAAGTTCTCTTGTTGATGTAAATGTTATGTTAAACAAACTTAGTCTTGATAGCCCATATGACTTAAATATATTATTGGCTTTCCTAAATAAGTTTTAAAAGGTAAGTTTTTTCCAATTCAATGTCTTTCGCGCTGAAAACTTTGATAGGATGAGTTACTCTTTGTTGCACAGCCATTGATTAAATGTTTTAAAAATAGTGGCAAGTACTATCCTCGAATTCAAAATGCTGATGAAAACGGAACCCGGTAGTGAAAAATCAAATTTTCTAAGCTCTAGCGATTGAAAATATTATTTGAAATTTATTTTATTTCTACTCTTTTTTCCGTTGTCCAACACAAATATAGATACATGTGACTCATGATTGTCAAGTAGCAACATGATTGGATTCTCAATTGAAAAATGTGCATGTTTGACCAGATGTTCTTCAACTTCCAGATATTAACTTCTGTTATCCACCCAGAAGGGTGAGCTGGTCCGCCTCTAACAAAGTGATCTTTGTAATGAACACTCGGAAATAAAAATGCAGATGAAATACTGTTCCCTAAAGCATTAAGTGCAAAAGCCAAAATAACCAATTGACCACGCTTTTGTGAAACAATTGCACCAACTTGCTTCACACCTTTCTGAGCAACAATTCTGCTAGGACGCTCTACAGTAGTAATTCCTGTTTCGTCGATGTTGTAGATAGTCTCTGGTCCAAATTTATGACGTTTGTAAACTGCTGACAAGTTATCAAAAAATGTAGATACGTTTTATATATTGTCGCCTCAGGTTCTCTGTCTGAGAGGTGTGTATGTCTTTTCATGGATCCAAAAAACCTATCAGCCTTTTGTCATTTTCGTCATCTACCTTCCAATTCCTCTGAACCGTCTTGCCGTTCCCGGTCGCAAATTGGAATGCCAACGTGGGAACTTCTCTTGGATTCATCCATGGTATAACGCGACAGCTTTTTTGATATATTATTTTGGTGTATAATTCTTCGTCATCAATAAATACCTTTCTAGAAATTTGACAATACAGAATTCTGAGCATTTTGTATCTTTTACAATGTCATAGCAATGTCGCATGGTCTGGTCAATGTTGTATTTGCGGCCAACAGCACGGACACTCATTTCGTCATCTGGGGCCTTCCTCATAGCAACCAGCATAATATCTTAAGGAGTGCTCTACCTCAGAGTGTTTTTCGCTGTCCATTTCTTATCATTATAATAGATCCCGCTTCAAAAACGAACACACTTTTAGATTTTTGACTTATAATAATAAATATTTAATAATAAATATTTGTTTTTGCTGGTTACGAGTTGTTGACTTTATTCTTTTTTTAAATACAATTTTAACAAAACTAAAAGTGATTAATTCTATTGTAAAATCAGTACAACCATAAAACAATGTGTTGTCAAAGTGGTTCAAAGTGCCTCTGACAACATGGTTCAACACGGCTCAAACATAGTGCTCCTGGTAAAGTACGTACTGTTTTACTGGATAAAAACCCTACAAAAATATGCATCGTAAAATTATATATTAATTTAAAAAAAAAACAGTAACGTCAAGAGCTGAAAATTACTTGAAAACGGCAATTCCTAGACATGATTAACTCAGCTAGTTCTATATGCTTTAACGGTTACAATTATGGAACGCTTGCCAGAATTTTTTATAAATGAGTAAATTTAACCAACTGGTTTAACCTCCCTAAGGTTCATCAAGCCCCAGTGCCCCTAAAATAAAATATCGTGATAAAACATTTCAATTTTTTGTTTGAAAAAAATTTATTAGTTAAAAAGTTACTTTCTAAAATGTTTTAAACTAGAATTGATTAACAATTAAACAAATTAAACAATTGATTAAACTATGAAACAAATTAAACAATTAATTTCAGCTTAAAATTTATAAAAAAAAAACCATTTAAATAAATAATAAGTTTCTTAAAATACGCAAACTATTAACACAAAATTTTAATGACGCCCTTGAGCACGAGAAGATTGTCAAGTAGTAGCGTTTTATTTCTGTGCGAAGCATCATTGAAATAATGATTCACTTAAAAACGATTTGGTTTTCATTCTGTCATTCTTAAAGTTTTAAAAAACAAACTTAAAATAAAAACACCACACGTACATCTATTTATTTGTTTTGATTTATTTAATATTACTATCTAATTTCAAATTATTTTTCATTGAATTATATTACTACAAAGCATCAATTTTGTTGGCAGCTAGTTAGTTATAGGAGATGGGGGGCTTTATAAACCACGGGTAGGTTGAATCAGTTGGGTAAATTTGTTTATTAATAACATGTTCCGGTAGGCGTTTTAAAATTCTAACTATTTATGGGTAAAGAACTACCTGAGTTAATCTGTCATGTTTTTGTCTGCAAACTGTCAAGTAAATATCGTTTATGTGATTTTGTAGTTTTTGAGTAATTTTCAGTCGTTTTCGTTATTATTCTCTAAAATACAATTGCAAAAGTGTAAATAATTTTACGATACATATGTGTATAGTGTTTTTATTCAGTAAAACAGTATGTATTTCATTGCAGGCCTTGGTAACCTGCTAATGAGGCTACAATTGAAATACTATGAACACTATGGATGGGGCATATTGAACCAAGTTGTTAGTAGCACGTTGAACCGTATTTATATTAGTCCAAAATTTAAGAGTATGTTTGTTTTTGTATTCAGTTGCATAGTCCTAAAACTCTTTTGGTAGTTTTTCGTTTTTATTATTTTCTTATTTAAAAAATAATTTAAACAGAAATATTTACAAACCTCTTAACTAAAATTCATTATAAATTTTTTGTGTATATTTTATTTTGTTTTTGTTTCCGAGATTTTTCTTTTTTGAAAGAATCCCATTAAAAGAAATTGTACAAGGAGCACAACACAATTGCTACATCTCATGGTAAGAAAAAACGTTCATTTCACACACACACTTTCATCTTGCTAGTTTCATTTTCAAAATTTCATCTTCGCTGTTTTTGTATTTTTCCAGATTTTGTTTTTGAATTATTTTTTTTTGAATCCTCAATTAAAATACGTTCGTTTTTTCATTTTTTTCTCACAAATCTCATTTTAGTTTTTCTCTGAAGTATCAGAGAAACAAACACCCATTTCATATAAGGACATTTCAGCCAACGCATCACATTGTACGAACTCACTGGCGGATCTACCCAACTTTTTTAAAATTTTGACGGATGCCAGGATACCAACAAAATTTATTGTAATTGGACAAAAATTAAGCTAGCAACCCTTTTTTGCTTATCATGTCAAAATTTAGTCAATTTTCCAGATAAAAACATTGTTTTTCATAAGTAAAAACTGAGTTCTACTTAATTTTTAGTAATAATACTGCACACAGCTGAGATGAGGTATGTAGATGAGAGGGACCGTCTCGCATTTGAACCCGGCAACTGCAGCAACAGCAACACCAGGCACCTCACCCACTGCACCATCTCGCATATAGCCACTTCACTTTAAGATCGTTAACTCTTCTGTTACGCAACGTACGTGTTAAAACACATCAAGCATGAATGAACCAACCAGGCTGACTTTAAGATAATTATTAAAATCAAACAACAGCGTAACTAAGATTACACATGTAAATAAACTAAAACATAACATCAACACATGTAAAGAAGCGATCAAAGGGCATAGATGCAACAACATATTCAAATAAACACAAAACAACGTAGAAACAACAACACATTTAAATAATTAACAACAAATAGAAACAAACAACAACATTTAAAGCAAGCAACATTAAAAAAACAAGCAACAACATGGAAACAACAACGCATTTAAACAAACCAACAAACAGCCAATAGAAACAAACAAAAACATTTAAAGCAGGCAACGTTTAAAAACATGCAACAACATGGAAACAACAATAGTTTCAAACCAACAAACAAACAAACAAACAGGAACTCACAAACAAAAAAAATATGCACAAGATGCTACTACGTGCAGTTGCGAAGAGATGCCATTCGTTATATTAATGCGTTTTGAAGATATAAGCAGTGGCTGTTTCGCTATTTTGTGGCTCCGTCTTTTACAGCTTTTTACAACAGCCATTTGTATTGTGGTAGCGATTGGTGGTTTAGTGGTAAATAGAGTTGTAGTAGCAATTGTAGTTGTGGTAGCGATTGGTGGTTTAGTGGTAAATGGAGTTGTAGTAGCAATTGTAGTTGTGGTAGCGATTGGTGGTTTAGTGGTAAATAGAGTTGTAGTAGCAATTGTAGTTGTGGTAGCGATTGGTGGTTTAGTGGTAAATGGAGTTGTAGTAGCAATTGTAGTTGTGGTAGCGATTGGTGGTTTAGTGGTAAATGGAGTTGTAGTAGCAATTGTAGTTGTGGTAGCGATTGGTGGTTTAGTGGTAAATAGAGTTGTAGTAGCAATTGTAGTTGTGGTAGCGTTAATGGCAGCTAACGGCAATGGTTTTTTTGGCGTTGCAATTGTTTTTTTTTTGCTAAAGCTAACGGTGGTTTTTGTGGTAATCATGGAGGTTTTTGTTAGTGCTAATAGTTGTTAAAATGGTTGTGCTGGGTGTTTTTTGGTAAAGAAAATAATTTTAATGATAGTTTCACCATTAATTGTGGTTGAACAAAGTGAGTGATGTTAATTAGGGAAGAAGTAAGGCTTGTTGTGGTTGCAGAACATTGTAAGTTGAAATAGATGTCATATTTACCGTTTGTGTGGTAGTATTTTCTGTAGTAGTCCTATTTCTAGAAGCATTAGCAAAGACGGTAGTAAAATTGGTAGTAAATGAAGCGACGAACGTAGTTCCTGTGGCCGCTGTAGTTGTTGTAGTATTAGTAGAAAAATTATTGAGGATAATCGAAGCAGTAACATCGCGCGTAAATATGAAGTGTGTCTTCTCTAAGGTATCGACTACAGTTGCAAAGGCTGTCCGACAAAAATATCTAGATGTTCCTTGCAGACTTTTGTGAGCAATATATCTCAAAGTTATTTTTTTGTTGTATCATAAGTTTTTAAACTTAATTTTAACTGCAGAAGAATTGAAACAGCTAGATTTTAAATACCGAAATTCATTTTCTTACAATTTAAGCCATCTTTCGCGTCCAAAGTTAAAACCACTACTAATGAGGAAACCAGAACATGACAGGCAAGATGTTAACATTGGAGCTGTGTGATGTAGTGTATATGTGTTTGTTTGTCTGTGTGTGTGTGTGTTTCTCTGTGTGTGTGTATTTGTCTGTGTGTGTTTGTCTGTGTGTGTTTGTGTGTGTGTCTGTGTGTGTGTGTGTGTGTGTTTGTGTGGAGTGTATGTGTGTTGTGTAATGTGAAAAAAGTGTTTCTCCGCGCGTTTTTAACCTGATTAGTGTTGTTTTTGTCTGAACTATAATAAATTAAACTGACAAGTAAAAGAATTTGCAAATGATTCAAAATCTGTGAAACTGATCATTAGGATAATGATTTTTATATGAAAAGGTATTTAAATCCAAAATAACGAAACACACTCGCACGTACTAAAGCATCCACGCACACACACACGGACAGACACTCACATTGATAAAAGATAGAACAGTTTCAAGTTAAAACTACTGATATGATGTACACTGCACAGTGCAGTGCACACATTGTGTAAGAGCGACTATTAGTAAAGAAGACAAAAATATGTAAATACTTTAGCTCTAGTGTCATGCTGATAGCGAAATAGACATGCAACCCGATCCAGCGAATGTCACTTGGGGATGACTTCAACAGATTGTTTGTGTAAGAAATGTGTGTGCGTGTTTGTGAGCGTGCTTGCGTCTATGTGTGTGTGTGTGTGTGTGTGTGTGTGTGTGTGTGTCTTTGTCTGTCTATGTGTCTGTGTGTGTGTGTGTGTGTGACGTACGTGTGTGTGTGTGTGTGTCATTGTGATCATTATGCTATATATGCGTACGATTTCCTCCAGAAGATTATTCAAAGAACAATTAATAATTTAATGACTAAACGTTTGAATGAATTCAAAATGTGAATAAAAGTTGAATGAGCATTGATGGACGATTGAGCGGATGAGATTTTCAGCTGATACTTGCGAACGTTCAAATGTTTTTTAATCAATTCAATAGAAAATAGAAGCATTGAAATTTTTTACTTTAGTTTTTATGCTAGTATTCTGTTGGTAGAAATTGGAATGGAGAAAAATTCATTGAAAAATTTTTAAATGCTTGAATAATAAGATTAACAAATTAGTGAAGAACAGCTTCAGAGAAATATTTAATGCACGAGCAAATGATTGAAAGATTATACAAGCAAATTAATAAACAATAAAAAAGAATGAATGAATGACTGAATAAATGAACGAACAAACGTACGAATGAATGAATGAAGGAATGAATGAATGAATGAAATAATCTTTGATGTCCATGTTGAATGGAGTGTTGAAAGAGATTGAAGTCTTCTTATGGAGTTGTTTCACGTTTGGATGGCCTCAAACAATCTTGATGACGATGATTGTGAGAGAGACGATTGAGAAATGATGGAATGTAATTTTATATTATCATTATATATGTTATGTTTGAGTATGTGTGTGAGTGTGCGTGTGTGTGCACGCGTGTGTGTTTGTGTGCATGTGTGTGCGTGTTTGTGTGCGTGTGTTTGTGTGCGTGTTTGTGTGTGTGTGAACAACAAAATGTGGTCTCTAGAAATAAAAATGCGTTGGATTGGTGCTGGCAAAGTTAAAGAGTGCTACCATGGCAGTGTGAAACAACGTCGGATTAGAAATCGAAATGCCTACCTACTTGACAAATATCTTATCTCCTCCCTTCATTTTGATGTAGATACAATTTTATTTCTTCACACAAATAAATTTACTGACGTTCAGATGATTAGATTCGTTCAATCTTTTTAGGTCAAATTTTCTGGTGCAAACATTAAATTTTGTCGCGATAGCATCCATTATATATTTTTTTTTTACTTTATTAGGTATCAAAGAAACGTTGTCAATTTTTTTTATAAAACAATTGTATTAGATCATTCAAGATTTCACAAATTTTTGAAAGAAAAAATTCTAACAAGTACGTTGTCAAGTGTTTCTCAAAATAAAAAATATCTTTAAAATAGTCGTTTATTGTTATCTTCGTCATAAACTCAGCAATTAATGATGATGCGTTAGTAGCGAACGTTACATTCAACCTATTCCGCTGCCAATTCGAGAGGCATTCAGCTTGATAACTCCGTACTATCAGAACGTAACCCCATTTGAATGGGCCTTTGAAGCGCTGAGGCAGAACGTGCAGATGATGGTCGGCCCATTGTCCCCACCATCGTCAACGCCTTCACAGGCACCACTCATCAGCTGCTTGATCACGTGACCATCTTTCTCGAGGTCAAGGTTGACAAGTTTTCTCATTTTCAGGAGTCTGGTCAGTGAGCCCCTGATTCTGACGCATGGTTGTTGGTGCAGGTGAAGGTCGGTGTTGATGACGGTGTGAAGGTGAGCGATGTAGCTGGTGGCCAGTCTGTTTCGGGGGTTTGTGTGTTTAAGCTGTTTACGTGAGTGTGCGTGTGTTATCAGTGTTATTTGTAAAAGGGGTTTGACTGGCAATGTAATGAGGTTAGTTTGCATCAAGTAGATGTGTGTGTGTTCTGTGTATCTGTGTAAGTGTGTGTGTTTGTGTGTGTGTCTGTGTGTGCGTATATGTGTGTGTGTGTGTAGTTTAGTTAGGTTTGGGTGTTTCTAATATAAGTATGTAAAATGCATTATGCTTAAATATATAGCTATTGGTTTCATTATGATTATATACACTTCTTTGGTTTAATGAACTTTCACACTAATTAAAAAACATTCATTCAAAATTAACTATAAAAAGATTAATGAAAATTATACCTGATAGTTTCAATCTTCGATAGCTTTCGATCAGCTGGCTCAGTGGGTATGATGGATCGCAAATGGTGAAAGGCATTGTTAACGTTGTAGGTTCGATCTCTCTCTCGGGCGTTTGCCGTTCGTCTCAGTTTAATTTCTGGCTTTTGAACAGTCGATTGTTGCTTGAATTGCTGTTGGTGCTTTTGGGTTTTTTGTTTTTGCAGTTGTGGAATTTGTTTCAATGGCTGATAGTTTTGATGATAGTGCTGCTTGGCTGGTTGTGGATATGTGTAGAAGTTTTGTTGTTGCTGGTTGTTACCAGTGTAGTAGTTGTTGTTGTTGGTGGTGTTGGTGTTGTAGTTGAATTGTGAAATTGAAGCTGCTCCGTTTGGAGACGAGTTGAAAAAGTTGTCGATGCATGCTGAGGAGTCCCCAATGTTTCCGTGCAAATAACTCAACGACGATTTGTCTAGGAATGCGTTGACATCTGCCTTCGGGGTGTCGCTCCCATCAAATGTTGACAGATGTAAGAAGTTATCTTCCAAGGTCTCATTTCTGTAGCCATGTCGTTTGAAGGAGGCAATGAAGGTGGTTGTAATTTCGTCGTAGTTGTAGTTGTGGCTGTTGAAATCATTTTGAGGCCAGTTGTTGCAATTGATGTCAGCCGAAAAATTGGTCAGTCCAATGTTACCATTCAGTATGTCGTAAGATGAATTTGTTGAAGATGATGAATCGCAAGATGGAGAGCATGCGACGAAGGAATTGTTGTTGCTGTCATATAAGTTATTGCAATATGTAGCTTTCCCTGCAAGCTTATTGTTAATTTTGTTGAAATTGTTCTGAGAAGGTTGATATTCACAGTTGTTGTTGTGGTTATCAGCGCTGAGGTTGGCTGTTGTGTTGTTGTTAACGCTGCAGCCACTATTGAGATAACTGTTGTTGAATTGGCAGACTACGTTGAATGAACTGCGGTTTGTCGGATTGTGTAAGGACATACTGGTTGCTTTCGCTTGTTCTGGTCTGTAATGTTGTGGCAATTTGAAGCGATCACAACATCACTACAATCTTAACAATGCGAACGAAATTAATAAACGTTTTTCCTTTCCATAAAAATTTAATTCCTCTTAGCAGCTGTTAAATTTTTGATGCAGACGACTGAATGTTAGCAGAATATCTTTTCGAAATTAAAAGAAAATCCTGTAAAAATTGTCTGCTAAGAGTTGAGTTTTGTGTCTGTGAAAATTTTCAGAAAATAAAATTATAGCCAATCATTCAAAAAATTTTAGTTACAATAGACGCAAAATAACTTCCTCATTTTGCAGACAAAAATATCAACATATAATTTTCAGAGTTTGAACCACAAAAACAAAATTGACCTAGCATTTTAGTTGTAAACTATTTGCTAAAAGCAATTTAACCTTTATGTGTAAAATATTTAAATCATTGAAAAAGTTCATTTCGAATGACTTGTGTACATAATTAGTTAAAAATTTCAATTTTTTAATTCTATTATTTATCCTTAGTTAATAATTAACTACCAGCTATACTTATATATACACACATACAACGTTATTTTAGTTTCTTGCACAGCCCTGCAGGCCTGCTTTCATGCGTTTTTTTCAAAATTTTAAACAGGTATGTTAATTTTTCGTTCTATTGTCAAACTCAACACCTAATGCTGGCGTGTGTTTTCAATCACATAGTTACATCTATTTGGTACACGAAACATTTACAAGAATATGAAAATGTAATCAAATACAAGTTGATAATTTAGTTAATTACAAGTTTGGAATGTAATTAATTACAAGTTGATAATTTAATTAATTACAAGTTTGGAATGTAATTAATTACAAGTTGATAATTTAATTAATTACAAGTTTGGAATGTAATCAATTACAAGTTCTAATTATAATCAATAATAACAATTTGAATAAAACGCGTACTACACACACGCAAGAGAATTTTTACGCGCAAATAACTAAAATGCATAAAGGATGAATATAAACAAGTCCAATGGAAACAAATGAGATATATATATAAGAAATAAAAATAAATATATAACTGCGTGATAAGTGGTGGCAGGTGGCTGAGGTCAGCTGGGGTCAGGAAGATGGGAGTCGGTGGTTGCGATGATGATGATGGTTGTTGTGCTGATAGTGATGATGGTTATGATAATTATGGGGATGAATATGATAATGATGGTGATGATGACAATGATGACGGTGATGATGATGATGAACAATGAGTATGCAAGATGAATTAAAAAATTTGACATGATGTAACTGAAGATTAGGTTGCTATTGATATTTTTAACAAACAATATTCCCATAATTTTCCTGGTACTATTATTAATATTTTATTTTTATTTTCATTAATATTCTTCCAACTCTTTTTTCTTCATATTTTTTAATATTATCTTTTTATTTATACTCTTTTATTACAATGACGACAACGTTAATGATGAGGAAGATGAATGAAAAAGTTTGAGATGATGAAACATTGTTAGTTTCATCGCTAGCAGCAGTTCCACAACAGTCGACAGACTCCGGGCTTTAAGTCAGACGTTGCCTCGCTATTTTTGGCTGCTACATATCTTGCCAATCGTACGACCACCATGCATCTAGCTATAAAGCTGCCAAGGATCGACCTGCAGTCGGTTGGGTTGGACCACTTGACCACCGGATACGCACAGTAGAGGGGTAGGTAGGTTTAACGATTGTCAACAACATCGGAACACATTCAGCCACTGGAGACACGTCTGCGATCCTACAAATTCTGCGATCTTAGTATCACCAGCAGCAGCAGTAATAATAATAATAATAATAATAATAATAATAATAATAATAATGATAGATTGCATTAATATTGGTTGTAGTAGTAGAATGATAGTAGGAGCGGATAATTGATGGAAGTAATAATAACAATAGTGGAACAACTACGTCTTCATCAATCCTGTTGAGTCTACCAAGGATAAGTAGTTGTAGTAGTAGTAACGGTACTTGATTGAACCAGCGAATGTAGTAATAGCAGTAATGATAGTAGCGAATATATTACTATACTATTAGTAAAAGTACTATTCGATGAGGGGTCTAGACATGATTGCTGATGATGAGACCAAGTTTTGATGACGAGCAAAAACTGAAATTACCAGGTCTTTTTTGGTTATGGCATAATTTTGTTCAAGTTTTCAAGTTTGAAATGGTTTCAATGTGTACAAAGTAATCCAACCATATGTAGAAGTTTTCGTCGTTGTAGTAGTAGTAGTAGCAGCAGCAGCAGTAGCATTAGTAGTTGTAGAAGTGGTAGTAGTAGTAGTAGTAGTAGTAATAGTAGTAGTAGTAGTAGTAGTAGTAGTAGTAGTAGTAGTAGTAGTAGTAGTAGTAGCATTAGTAGTTGTAGAAGTGGTAGTAGTAGTAGTAGTAGTAGTAATAGTAGTAGTAGTAGTAGTAGTAGTAGTAGTAGTAGTAGTAGTAGTAGTAGTAGTAGCATTAGTAGTTGTAGAAGTGGTAGTAGTAGTAGTAGTAGTAGTAGTAGTAGTAGTAGTAGTAGTGATAGTAGTAGTAGTAGTAGTAAGCATTAGTAGTTGTAGAAGTGGTAGTAGTAGTAGTAGTAGTAGTAGTAGTGGTAGTAGTAGTGGTAGTAGTAGTGGTAGTAGTAGTGGTAGTGGTAATAGCATCGAGTAGAAGCTTTGTATGAGAGAAAGTGATACAAATGCATGGAATGAGAACGTTTAAGGAGTATTGAATTTGTTTTTTCAGTGCATTCATGTCTCGAAAACATCGTTACTCACAGAGCATTTCTATTTCTATGTAAAATTTTTTCATAATTTGTTTGCGATTTAAGATAAATTAATTACATTTGAATAGTATTTAGAGTTCTGAAACAGTCTCAGATTATATTAGTATAGAATTAGGTAATAAAGAAATTGATTAATTAATTTGAAGTAATAAATTTTATTGTATCAGTTGCAAGCAAATGCGTTAAAATTTTTCTAGCAAAAATTCTCAATCGCACGGCCGTGTTGTGTTTGTCGCTGACGTGATGTTATGTAACGATAAACGTTCGTATCAGCGGACCATTCATTTTCCCGCGTAATTTTGAAACAACAACAGCCAGATAAAATCAGGTGATTTTTCGTACATTTTTATAGCGCGCAATAATCCGCAATCGTTCAGCAGGCATGAGGCTATAATTAAGTCACCAACTGTAATAATATTGACAGTGACAATAATGAAAACACAACACATCTCAAAATAGTGTAAATATCTTTGAATATGATTGAAAAGAATTGTGTCCCAGCAAAGTTAGTCTAAAATGGGTGTTTTTGTTATCCTTTCAACAGTCATCTACATAGTAATCTATGTCCAGTGGGTATGTGCCAAACAAACGCTCCTGTACGACCATGATGTGGATTTTTAATGACTGTGCCATGGTGTAGAATGTTTCAGTGTGACGCTGTGCAAATTTTTGAACGATGTGCCTATTTGCGGCTTAATCTTTCAACTCGCAATTTTTTTTTACTTAAATGATAGATTCAAAGTGTCAGTAAAGATGAATGTTGAATTCAATTTCGCATTAGTTTATAATTCATAAGAATAACATAAGAGGTTTAGTGATTAAATTGTTTGAAAAATGAAAAACTAATTAAGAAATCAAGTGAGAAATAACTAATGCTCTACTAAAAAATTAATTTACCTCTCCAATACAATGAGTATTTGTTATCCACAAAGCCTTACGTTAACAGCAACATATTTCTGAAACACTTTGATATGAACTTGTTTTGATTTTTATTTAATTAGCTAAAGTGATTTTTGTCAATCTAGCAGAATTTATTAAAGGTTAAAGTTATTTTTTGTTATAAATTGTAATCAATTCATTCATTCCAAGTGTTGAATTCTTAATTTCCACAAATGCAAACCCAGGCAATCATTCAAGTTTATGAGAGATGAAATAAAAAAATGATGCCTATCACAGTAAACGTAGACTTTTAGATGAACGATTTCAATTAAACTGCTAATAACATATATCTCCATCTCCAAAATCATCATCATTAAGTTATTCCGCTCCTTTAATTGGTTAAAAAAGCAATTAGTAAATTTTAGTAGGAACTCATTGATTGGTTGAAAGTTAAGAGGTGGGCGGAGTCTAAAAGTAT